AAGCATAAACATGAAAATTAAATTAATTTTTTTTTCAATTATTCTCATTTTTTGTTTTGCATTTTCTGAAAATTATTGTCATGACCGTGACGGTGTCCACTTTTCTATTTTCGCTTCCTCATCAGGTCAAAGAGTTTAGGAGGAAAAATTCGTATTTCTTTGAAGATCGGCTTACTTAAACAGGTCTTGTTGAAAATTTCCCTTTTTAGCATACAACAAATTTTATTTATGCGCAAAAATGTAGAGAAAAAAATGGGTTCTTGAGAATGAAAAAAATTGATAAATTATAGACACGTCGTTTGACAGTAAATGACATGGATGCCTCGGTTTTGTGGTCAACAGTTCTAACAGTTTTTTCTCTTTGTTCAATTAACTACACTTTTGCTTCGCTGCTGGTGGCTCTTGGTTGAATTCTTTAAATGAGTAGTCGCATTCTTTAAATGAGTAGTCGCATTCTTTAAAGACATGAAAATAGCAGCAGAGAAACAATAAGAAAAATATTTGCATAATTTTTTTTTATTTCAAGTAATTATTTATTTGTTAAGAATTAATGAAAATATTTGCAGTTGTTTTTTATACCAGAATGAATACATTTCTAATAGTATTGTATTTATTTAACACATCGTGCATTCCCATATATACATATTTGTGTACAATATATATAAGTTGATTATCTTGTCATTTTATACATGACCTCAATACAAACAGGAAAGTGTGAAGAATGTCCAAATTTACTTTCTGCCTCGCAACATTGTTTTTCGTGGCATGCTTTTGTGTTGAGTCCACATGCAACAAAGCATCCAAGAAATTTTTGAATAAATATGCAAAACTGCCCGCATGCATGCATACGTTCGGTGTAAATGCATTACGAGCGTTGCATTTTGCTTACAGGCACTGCTATAACAAACCATGAAGTGTGGCACATTCATTAATATAGGCTTTTTTATGTATTTTTATGCGCAACTGTACAGCAATTTAATGCAATAAAATATTTTAAATTATTAATTTTATTAATATCATAAAAACTTTTTAACCAGGATGAGAGAGAAAACTAGAATTTATAGCATAAAATATAAAGAAACTCCATTCCACCCTGCAGGCTTGAATAAAGTTTGTCAAAAATTGAGAAAACTAAACATTTTAACTTCTTAAAATTGTATATACGTTTATCTAAAGTCTTAAAAAAAATTATAATTATAATAATATATATATATCTTTGCGTACAATTTTAATCCATAACGCAATGTGATATTTTCTCCTAGGTAGAGCATAGAGTCTCTGTTATCAATTTAAATTGAACTTGCACTGCTTCCTCCTCAGTTTTTTTTAAGTAAATATTCCTTCAATTGTTTTTTATTGAAATAAGAATACTTCAATCAGAATACCTCCTTAGAAATCCTAGCTATTCGACTAGACACCAATTTTTCTTATCTATATAACTAGTTCGTTATGAAACTAAAATTGATTCTTTTCTCTGCCTTCATTACGCTTCTTTTAGGGAATAAATCACATTTTCTGTACGATGATGTCAATATTTTTATGTTATTATTTTTAATCTCTCAAAATAACAATAGTTTACACAAAATAATAATTTTGTCCAATGATCCTATTCCCCTGTTGGCTTTGTTTACGTTTTAAGTAAATTTTGCCATTACTCTCTGGAGATGTAAAAATAAATGAAAAAAAAATATGAATCTATCCCAAGATATAAATAATATTTACTTGCTCTTCTCTACAGGTAATATATTGAAAGCACTGAATTATATACGATATTTCTATTTACTTTATATCAGGTCTATCCAGATCGAATGCGATGGCAGGCCAATACTGTACATATTGTAGGACCGCAGAAATAAATACATATGGTCATGGTTGTTTTCGACAAAAATAAAAATACGGTTATAATGTTAAATTTAATGTTAAATAAAATAATGTAGAGTTTTACTCAGTGGCGTAACTACATTTTTTAGGCCTGTAAGCAAATTCTAACTAAGGGGCCCCTACCAACATACTAAGGGGCCCCTCTTTTTATACTCATTACACGAAAAAATGTAAAAAGGGTATATAAGGTTTGTCAAGATTTTCGTAACGCATTAAAGGAAACTTCGGAAATACCATTAAGTATATACAGTGAGCGTAATTTACTTAGACGCACACAAAAAAAATGCTTTTATTTTTGTTAAAGAGCAAAGCTATTGATATTTTTTCATTATTGTTTTTTCTTTTCCATTATTAAACCTAAACAAACATAAAAGGAATGTGATTTTTATTTTGCAAAGTTATAATGATGAATTTCATAAAAAAGAAGCTAAGTAAGTGGGCAATTTTTATAGACGCATATATTTGTTTCGGTAGTTCGGACTAGTTTATTTGATTGTTCTGTAAGAAGGTTTGTATTTCATAACACATTAATATTTGAGCTAATATTCTAAAAGCAAAAACCATACAAATTCTTTACGAAATAGGCTCCGCATTTGCGCAAGTCGAATGGCAAAGGGAAAATTTCTAAGCGCTGAAGAAAAAGCCAAAATAGGGTGTTTACATCAAAATGGATTCTCAAAGAGGAAAATTGCAGGCCACATAAACCGATCGGAACACGTTGTAAGAAATTTTTTACGTTTGGGTGAGGAATATGGTAAAGCCCCTACGAATAACAAGCGAAATGCAAAGATAAATCGGCGACTCAAAACCCAAATAAAGGAAGAAGCAACAAAAAATCGGCTCAGTGCAGCTCAAATCGCATCAAAATTGCAGCTACCAATTAAAAAAAGAAGAGTGCTGCAAATTTTACATGCAGATGGCCACATAAAATGGAAGAAAATGATGAAACGGCCCCCTCTGAAAGAAATGCACAAGAAGAATCGCATTGTTTTTGCTAAAAATCATATGCATTGGATCAAAGAATGGCACTCGGTTATTTTTTTGGACGAGAAAAAATTTAACTTGGACGGGCTAGACGGTTTCAGCTCTTACTGGCATGATCTTCGCCAAAACAATCCCATAAGAATGAGTAGAAACTTTGGAGGCGGATTTGTCATGATATGGGGTGGCTTTTCACTCCATGGAAAACTTACTTTGTGCTTCATAAATACAAGAATGAACTCAGAGAAGTACACTGAAATGCTGGATGACGTTCTTATAAAGTTTCTGGAGGAACACGCCGATCGGGATCTAATTTTCCAGCAGGATAACGCCGCCATTCATGTGTCCAAGCTTTCAAAGTCTTACTTCTCGTCGAAGCAGATAACGGTAATGAATTGGCCAGTAAGGAGTCCTGACCTAAAACCCATTGAGAACCTATGGGGAATAATTTCACGGAAGGTCTATGCCAACGGACGTCATTATTCCACAGTGAGTGAGGTCAAAGCATCAATCCAAGAGGCTTGGGACAAAATCGACGAGTGATTATCAAAAAATTGATAGATTCGATGCCAAATCGAATTTTTTCAGTTATAAACCAAAACGGAGGAATTACAAAGTATTAAGCATTGTCAAAACTGTGTAAACTCTTTGATTTCTTTTGTTTAAACATAGTGCGCCTAAGAAAATTGCGCGTTTATTTTGCCTTATTTTTGTGTTTTTGTACATATGTAAGAAGAATGACTGATATGATATATATTTCTTTTTTGTTTTTTACTATCAAGCACTGCTTTTTCTTTTTCAACAAAAAAAACATTTATATTCGAGTTCGTTGTATCGTTTTTGAAAAAATATTAAGTGCGTCTAAGTAAATTGCGCTCACTATATCAGTATACTTTTACAGTTCAAACTACTCTTTTATTCAAACTCTTCGAATAAAACTTTATACACATACTTTTCGGGAGCGC